GTGTGTGGGTGTGGGTGTGAGTGTGTGGGTGTGGGTGTGAGTGTGTGGGTGTGGGTGTGAGTGTGTGGGTGTGGGTGTGAGTGTGTGGGTGTGGGTGTGAGTGTGTGGGTGTGGGTGTGAGTGTGTGGGTGTGGGTGTGGGTGTCCCATGTCCATGTCGACGCGAACGCATTGGAACGCGTGACGAACATAGAGGTGACGTCATGCGTACCAATGCGTTCGAATCGATATGAGTAGCCTTGTAGGACCTAACGGTATTCCAAAAATATAACTTTTGAACTCCTAAGAGTACTCACAAAAGTTTTACTTCCTTTCACATAGGTTCCAACTGCTACCCGATCCATGTCGATTCGAACGCATTGGTACGCGCGACGTCACCTCTATGTTCGTCACGCGTTCCAATGCGTACGTATCGACATGGGGAATATATGAAAACAATTCGTCGGGTAATACTCAATGAAATAGTATGACGCGCGGAAATATCTATGCGCGAACATGTCGTTGCGCGAAAGTGTTGTCCGCGGTAACGTCAGCGCGGAAATGTCGTGTCACGTAACCGTAGGTACGGTTACCGGTTCAAAGTATTGCCGATAAAAACAGCATTTGTTAAGAAAATAACGATATTTTATAAAGGTTGACGACAGTAAATCGAGGTCGGAGAATCCGAATCCGAAGTCAGTTTTTGAAAATTTCAAAGTGAATTTTTTCGACAAAGAAAAGCGATTTTCAGAAAAATAATGATATTTTATAAAGGTGACGAAAGTAAATCGCGGTCGGAGAATCAGAATCTGAAATCAGATCCTTGAACTTTTCAATTTTCTCTTCCCAAGACTAAACCGCTTCTTCGAAGTCGTCTTTTTTTCTAGAAAACTTTACTCCTGAAAAACATCATATTTGAAGAACTAAAACTCAAAATTTTCAAAAACTGACTTCAGATTCGGATTCTCCGACCTTGATTCACTTTCGTCAACCTTTATAAGGTATCATTATTTTTCTAAAAATCCCTTCCCTTTGTCGAAAAAATCCAATTTGAAATTTTCAAAAACTGACTTCGGATTCGGATCCTCCGACCTCAATTTACTGTCGTCAACCTTTATAAAATATCATTATTTTTCTAAAAATCGCTTTCCTTTGTCGAAAAAATTTAATTCGAAATTTTCAAAAACTGACTTCAGATTCGGATTCTCCGACCTTGATTTACTGTCGTCAACCTTTATAAAACAAGTAACGCAGCGCAAACGCTGCTAACCCTCTACTGAAAGGATGAGTTACATCGAAGATATGATATTAGAAGTACTAGATATGAGAAATGATTCGTTGGCAGCACGTTAAGGAGCGGAATGAAACGAACCATTATGCTTCAAGAGTTGGAAATTTAGATTCCCATATTCTGTATCCTCTACGAAAAATGCATATTCTGAGCATGTTAAAAATATGCTTTATATTCCCATGATATTGTCAACATTCTCCGTGCTCGCTTTTCCCAGCTAAATATTCTCATAGCATTATCTATATTCTGATCAAAGGGTTAGTATCGCGTCCCCAAGTTTCAAAATGTCTGAAATTTGAAAACAAACGATTGAAGGTGACAAAAAGTTCTGTATTAACGCCCAAAAATGAATATATACCTGCAACAAGATGTGTGTCAAGATTCATGGCTCAATCAAAGCAATTTTTGTGGCTTGTATTTCATGAGAAAAGCTTGTTAGCGCAGCCCCTCTGGGACTGAAATGTAGAACTTAGATGTATTCACAACAACCAGCTCTTCAACTTACACTCACGATTTTCTTCGAAAAATATGTAAGTTCGACAAAACTAACTCAGCACTCAATATATTTACTACAGTAGTGTAGATTTTCTCTCTCGAGCCATTTAAGGTAAACAAATATATTATTCACTTTTTATTTTTAATCTCTCTCATGTTCTTTCTTGAAGGGGACTGTCGATATAGCTCTTCTCTTAACTCATACTCCCACTCACATTCCATCCAATAAATCTGGATCAGCAACAAAAACCTGTTAGCGTCAGTGATGATACACTGTGATGCGAAACCAAGATTAAGATACGCTTTCTAGTTTAATTGGCTTAGGTCATTTGTTTGAATAGCAGGAGATGTGGGTTCGAGTTCCACGAAGGTCGTCTTTTTTTTCATTCTGTTCGTTCATTGCATTTCTAATCGTACGACTCATATATGATGCTTACAAAACCGTGTCGCTATTCGACTGGGTACAGCAGAGTAATGATATGCAAGGTTCTATTTCACTACGAACTTGATAACCGACGAAGATAAAGACTTTATGAGTCGAAAACTTCCGCTTTCGTAATTCCATACCCTGACTATATATGATCTGAATTCTATTGAAACTGATTGTGCTGTTGTAGAGCTAAAACAATTTTATTGTGAGTATCGATGTACGATAAAGTCACTAAACCGCATTTTGTTAGCTATAATTCGCTAAAGGGTACGCAAATGAACTCCAAAGATGCTCGAAAACTTCGATGGATACTCATTCATGCCTGTCTAAAATTCTCAGAGATACATCTCGTACTGTAGACAAATGAAGGTATATAGAATATGAAGATATTGTAATAGATATGGATATTTGAATACGCAGCATATTGGCTTCATGTTTCTGATAAATTACTAGCATGAGTTCGAGTACTGTTACTCTGAAATAAAATAATAACAACAAAAATTCT